GGGCCCGGGGCGGAGCCCCTGGCTAGTTCCACCGGGAGTCGCCTAGAAGCGGGCTTCTGCTGAAGGCACCGCCGCCCTTTCTGTCCCCTCCTCGCACCCTCCCCGCCGAGTCGGAGAAGGAAGTGTCCTTTTCCTGCCCCTCTGCCCGGAGAGCCGCGGGCACGGTTCCCCGCAGCGCCTCTCCCTCCCGGGAAGGACGGCCCTGGGCTGAGAAATGGAGGTCGCCAGTTGGCGTCCGGACTTGGCCGAGGCCCCGGGAAGGCTGGATGGAGCCCGGGGGTTCCCGCACAGCCTCGGGCCCGGGGCGTGGCGGGGGGGAGGCTCCCATGGGGCCTGCAGCCACTTTAGGGGGGAAAGGCGACCCGCGCCGGGTCCTCCGCAGTCAGGGGAGGGTCGGTCCTCGGGAACTTGGGCGGCTTTCCGCCGGCGTCACCCACACGATGGCCACTCGGTTCCGTCTGCGAACAGATGTAGATTGTACCACAACACGGGTTGTCAGCAGTCTGGTGTTTAAGCTGATGCCATCGTCACAGTAACAACAGCGTGCTCTTTTGGGAAGAGGACACAGAAACAGCTCTCCGGGCTGCATGCCGCATTGATACCGAGAGGTAAAGCGGTTGGTCTGGCTTTGCTGCTTGATCCCAGTTTTACGGGCACAGTCGCTCTTACGTTGCACCGTGCTTGGCAAAAGAATGGTAGAACTAGAGGTGATAGCTGCCTTATATTGTGAAAGAAAAAACAACAACAACAACAACGATGTCAAACATTTCATTTGACATTTGACAGATTGTCTCCAGTCCTTTCTGTAACTTTGCCAGGTAGGTGTGATTAACCCCCTTTATATATGCGGAAGCGGCCTCAGAGAGGTGACTTGCTTAACTTGCAGGGCTAGTAAATAGCAAGTGCTGTCTGACTGCTGCTTACTGCAAGCTGCCTCTCTCTTCTTGGATGCGCATTGCAGGTTTAGGACACATAGAGTGTTACCACCCAGAAAGGGCTCACACATCAGCTAGTACACGCTGAGCATTTCAATAACGCTTAGGCAAGTCACACTTAAGAGACGGGAAATTCCTTCTAGGTCTTGATTCCCAAGCTACAGACTCTGCATGGTCGGTCAGGTGCAAGCTGCCTTAGCCCTCTTTCTCGCCTTCCTCCACTAAAATATAAGGTATATTGAAAAGACACTGAACCTTATAGTTAAAGTAATTTTTTTTTTATTTAAACTAGCCTAGTACTCATAGTTCAAAGACTAGGTGCAAGAAGAATGTAGTGAGTGAAGGTCTGAATTGAATTTTGATTCATAAGACTTCATGTTGACGGCAAAAGAGGCCGAGACTTTGGTATTGTTTCAGTGCTGATTCCCTATGAAGATGCTGGATGCAGCTATGACACCATATAATGCCACTCTTTTAAATACAGTTAGATATATTTCAGGTACACAATCCACACTGCTTAAATATAGGATACATAAATTGTCAATAGACTAGATTTTAAAAATCTGTCAAAGCCTTCAAAAGATGTATTATTTTCCAAATGAATTTTAAATTACTGGTTGTTTCAAATTCTTTAGGAAAGAATTTTCAAATTCTGTTCTACTCTGTTAGCTATCAAATAATTTTCAGTATTTAATACTTAACTGCATACTCCATGACTGCCTCTCGCTACTATTTTGAACACTGGTGATACAGTAATGAATAAAATGAAGAAAATATCTGCCCTCCTGGAGCTTACAATCTAGCAGAAGTGGACAAACTAGTAAATAAATACATCAGGTGGTGATGGAGAAATAGGCCGGTGGGGATAGGTTAATGGTAGAAGTGATGGTTGTTGCCCTGTTGTGTAGACATGGTGGTTAAAGCAAGCCTTTCTAATAGGATCAAATTCAAAGAGGCCTCAAGAAGTGACAGTTCACAGTTTTTTGAATGAAAAACATTTCAGTCATAGGGAACAAGTATAAAGACTGAAGTTTCAGGGGGTACTAGGGAGACCAGTTAGGGAGCTGTGGACATAGGGCAGGCAAAAAGTAAAAGGTGATGTGACATAAGAGTGATAGCAGGGAAGTTCACAATCCATCCAGTATTGCTTGTTAGATTGGCTTTGTGCTATGAGAGAAAAATGAGTCAAGGATGACTCATTAACACTTGAACCATTTACTAAGAAAGGAAATATTTCAGGAGGAGCAGGCTCCTTATGTTGAGTCTGTATCTTTTAGAGGTATATTCTGAAATTTGTATAAATTGTACCATGTCTGAGAATTACTTTAAAATATTTCAGAAGAAAAAATGGGAACAGTTAAAACAACATTGGCAGAATGTTGATAGTTTGAAGCTGGGTTGTGGGTTCATGAGGTTTCATTATACTATTATGCTTTTGTATATGTTTGACATTTCTATAATACTTTTTAAAAATAAAATATATAAGGGAAAAAAGATGGTTCCAAAATGTAACATGTGAAATTTGGGATGCTGTCTGGTAATTTTCAACAAAACACTGCTTATCAGTATTTAGTCAGTAACTGAGTTCCTACTTTAAATTGAATTGACATCAGTATAGTGCCAAAGTGCCAAGTTTCATGCTAAGAATAGAGTAAGAGTTATGTATGCCAGTTACTCGTTATAAGTAATAAGAACAATAGGAATGGAATTCAAGTTCACATTTATACCTTAAGGAATAGGCCATTCTCTGGTTAGCAACTGCCATACATATTTTCATTTTACTTAAAAAAAATTTTTAATTAAAAATAGAATTGGCCCCTATTTTTTTAAAAGTAAAATCAAACTATTAAAGCATATAAATGGGTCTCATCACTCCATTCTCACCCTTCTAAAATGTATGTGCCTTAGTACTATAAAAAAAGTATGTTAAGGTAAAATATACACTGAGCGGCTAGATTATTATGATCACCCCATCAGTACTTCATTGACACTTTGAAAAATGCTGAATATTGAAAACTTCCTAAGCAAATACTCTCAAGGTTTTATTATTTGCATAATTAATTCACTTCATTGTACTGATGGGGTGGTTATAATAATCTGGCCAGTCATAATAATCTGGCCACTCGGTGTATAAATGAATAGGAATATCCATTCCTTAATAGTCCATTTGGGTGGTTTTGTTGTTCTTACCTCCCTCAAAACAATAGAATACAAGAGCATCAAGTTATTTATCTTCCATCAATTGTTACTTTATTAGTGTCTTAAAAACCATTTATTAATTCATGGAATCTGTCTCTTCAGTCCAAACTCCTTTGTTGAGCATTAAATACTCCCTCCCAGCTTTATATTTCCTCTTACTCATATATAAACATTATTCCTATCAAATTATTTTCTAATTTCAAAAATATCTTGTACTTTTCTAATTCTAGACTTTTGCTCTTAAGTAAAACTCATCTTGAATGCTCTCTGTTGCCTCTTTGTAATCTTTCTTGCTCTCAAGATACAACTTCAAGTCCATCTCAGACCACAGGTGCTTAGTATGAAATCCTGTGTCATTTATCAATTCTGTATGTGGCAATTTTCTCCTAATGCACTGTTATGTAAGGCCCCTTGGAGCTCTAAAATTCTGTTATTCTGTGGCTTCCACATCTTTAATAAGATTGTATGTCTTAAAGAATTCTTTCTTTCTTATTCCCTTCTCACAACATCCAACATGGTTTTTAATTTTTTATATCATTTTCTCCAAGCAAGGCAGTAACCATAAATAAAGTTTACTCTTTGAATCATTTAGCACGTTAAATAATTTTGTTATTTTCATTAGTATTTTTCTAATATTATATCTGCTGACCTTGAAGTTGATTAATTCTAAAATATTAAACTTCAACTCACCTTATATTTATTGAGTACCTCTTAGGATGTTTGGCATTGAAGAATTCAAAGCTGAATAAGACCTAGTTGCTGCCCTCAAAGGACTTCATAGCCTAGTCCTAATTTGTCATAATTAAATATTTTACTCTTTTTAGTAAATATCTATTTTATGAATTACTGTTCTCTTACTTGGTTTAATAATTATTTCAAGTGTGCATATTTTAAATCCAGAATTGATATTGAAGCAAAACTGTGCTCACCTTCTTTAAAAGGAGAGTGTATACTTTCTAAAAAATTTTCTCAAACTAAATTACATAGGAAGGGGGTTTATATTAATTTCCTTTGAACTGACTACTGAAGTTACATTATGAATTTCATGACTGCCAGATATTCTCCCACTTAATTTACCAAGCATTAATGGTGGGTCTAAGCTGGTGATATAAAGATGAGTATGATGCAGCCCTCAACTAGCTCCTATCAGGTGTTATTTGGATGGAATTCCATCTTGGCCAAATACTTTCAAGCCCTTCTGAAATTCCATTTCCTTCATAGAATTTAAACTGCAAATAACTTCACCATGTCTCTCAAATTCTAATATATAATACATGTGACATTCAAAGTCCATACATTTACTCATTATATAAAAACTGAGTATTTAGTGCCACCCAAAACTGTGTTCACATCCTTTGGTACTATTGGCATTAACAGACTACTAAATAGAAGATGGTTTCTTAACCTTATGTTAAAATAATTATGTATGAGTTTAGAACAGTGGTTCTCAGTCTTAGCTGCATTTAAAATTAACTGAGGGATCTTTACAAGCCACACCCTAGTCCATGTTCAATTAGAATCTTTGGGGTTTGATTCAGCATCAGTGCTTTTGAAAATTCTCCCAAGTAATTCCAAAGAGCAGCCAAAATTGAGTACCAGTTGAGAAGAATCTCCTTTATAGTTTACTAATACATTATATTCAGAATGTTATACATTCCCCCCCTCAAGAACTTTGTTACTTTTAAAATATTACTTTACCCAGAGAATTGATGGTTAGACTTTATATGAAATAGATGTCTTGGATCACACAGCCTTTTTACTTGTGGTTCTTTTTTCTTTCTAATAAAGCAGAGTAGGGAATGCAGGTTCTTTATGTCATACTGTAGGCTACATTCCTGTCCTGTAGTGAAGGGAGGATTACAGGGCCTGGCAAAATATGACTGACTCAAAGACAATCCTTTACAGTAAATACTTGCTGTCAAAAAAATTAATACTTTAAATTAATACTTTCTATTACCATTATCCAAACATATTCTGTGGTTCCTTGTCCCTGTGTCTTTGTTCACAGCACTCCTATCCTACAGTCTCCCTCTGCTCCCTACATGATAGTCAATAATCAAATTAAAGGTAACCTTAATCCTACATAGAACAAACAAAACGAGAGTGGAGACATAACCATATTGCTAATGTTACATATTTAAGTTGAAATTATAAATTTAAATTATTATTACTTAAATGTGCAATTATAGAAGGCTTGATCATTCCCATGATTTTATCATGGGGGCGTAAGGATTTTTCCCATTGTTAATCAGAAGGTATGACATATTAAAATAACAAAATAGTACAATATTTAATAGATACATTTTTGTCTAAAACATTTTTAAGAATGCATCTACTGCAGAAAATGAGTTATATCAAATAAATTAAAGAGGTTTAGATTATTAATGAAAATATGTATGTAGAATATAGTATATATTTTCTTCTCTATGTGAGATGTATAATCAACATATGACATGGTTCTTGCCCTCAAGGCTTTCATGATCTTAACAGTATTGCCTAAAGGTAAACATAAAATTTTAACGTACCTTTTTCATAAGGACAAAAAAAAACTATTTAAAAAAAAAGATTCCTTTCCTAATTACCTAAAAATTTGAATTTTACCCTTAAGAATTTTAGTTTTCAATATCTTTCAACCCAAAATTATTAACTTTGTAGAATTTTAATAATAGTTGTAATTAGAAACTACAGTTGATTTTATTTCTCAATAAAATCCTTTACTAGACCCTTTTTATACTTCTGTATTTTTAACAGTGTCAGGGTTTTGATATATGTTAGAAAATGCCATTTACTAAGCTGTACATTTTATATCAAACTGTCCAAAAATCATTATATAGGTAAGTATCATAATTTCAGTAATGAAGAAGTTGAGGATCAGACTATTTAATAGTTTGCCCAAGGTTTCATATTCATACAAATACATGATTTGTTGCAAATACTCATCTTTGCTCTAGTACACTTTCACACTTAAAAAAAAAGTATATTTAATTAGAGATACCTGTAAGGTAGTGTTATGAGAATCACAAAGAAAATATTAAATAATTAAGCAAACAAGCCTTTTGACCTGAAGATTGAAATGTTTGTTTTTCAAATAATTAACTTTATAAGTGCTGGTTTTCTGAAATATTGGGGAAAACTTGCCCTGAAACCTAACCTGTATCAGGTAAACTAAATGACTTTCTTAAATCACTATTTATAAACATTTTTTAGTAATGTCTAGCCCATTTGTTTAATTTCATTGTGTTTGTAAAAAACATCAACATGGCCCTAGCTGGTTTGGTTCCGTGGATAGAGCATTAGCCTGCGGACAGAAGGGTCCCGAATTAGGTTCTGGTCAAGGGCACATACCTTGCTTGGTGGCAGGCTCCTCCCCGCCCCGGCGTGTGTGAGGGAACCAATAGATGTGTTTCTCTCACATCAATATTTCTCTCGTGTCTTTTCCTCTCTCTTCCACTCTCTCTAAAAATCAATAGGAAAATATCCTTGGATGCATATTAAAAAAAAAACTCAATAAAGTTCACCATGATTTTATGTACTGAAAAAAATAGGCCTGCAGGTTTATAATGTTTGGGTAATATTTTTCATTTAGCTCTTATAATAGTTCTTAGCAGAGTGCTTTGCACAAAGACTGACTTAATAAATACTGGTTCTTAATTATGGATCTGTTGATTGTTGTATTAATCTAGTCTTGGTTTTTAAGTATAAATTAAGGCTTCTACCAAAAAATAATAATAATATTTAGAGCCACTAATGATCCTCCAGAAATGCAACTGGAAGATAAATCATCAGAGGACTCTATACTCTTCCCTTGTGTCTTTACATAGCTCATTTTTTATCATCCCATCTCAGTTGTTACCAGTTCAGAGAGGCTATTTTTCTTACCATTCACATCTGGCAATCCTCAAACTCCTGCTCCCTCTTCCAGGCCCAGCTTGCATATCCCTCTGCCTTTTAAACCTGATTCTCCTGCCCTCCCTCTCCCTGCAGAATGAATTCTTCAGTTCTCTACACTTGAATTCATTAATCCAAGCAGTTAATCATTTAGTAACTCACTCAAGAAATAATAGGACCACCTATGTTGGTCCTCTGTCCACCTTTTTATCTTTGTATCCTTATCAAAGTATTTAATTACTTGTTTATTGTCTCGATGATCTACTGGTAGATTATCCTTTGTAGATAATGTTAACCTGTGTGTATTAACATGTAAAATTCTAATCTATATCTCTACAGTAGGTCTGTTGCTTAGAATCTTAGGGATCTGAAAGAAGACTAGAGTTCTCTATTAAGTTCGAGATTGCATAGTTACCCAGCTGACCTTGGGAGAAGGGTTTTGATTTTTGCCTAATGCCTCTCCTATCCTCAGTTACAATACACTCAAGTTTATGGGCTTAGGGCGGCAATACCTTTGGAACTGCTTTTCTCAGTCCCACCCATTGGGTCAGGGCTTGGCTAAGGCCTAAGACTTTACAAAAACTATTAAAGCTGTTATTTCTAGCACCTGAATAAGACCTTGGTGGGGGTTATAAAGTCTAAACATTCTAGAGGACCTTTCAGCTAAAAGTGCTAAGTTATAATCAACTGAAAGTATTAGACCAAAAACAAAGATGCTGGAAGAAACATAATAAAACTCAGACAAGTGGAGCAGAAGATATTTTAAGAAATGAGAGGGGGGAGAAAAAGCAAGGTGAACATTATATTTTGTAACCCAGAAATGAGTCATGATTAATGAGCATAGAATTAGTGCTAGTAGTATGCCTGTGTTATGATGGGAAAAGCCACATATTCTAGAAAAAAAAAATATGCATGATAAGCAGGCTGAGTCATCACTTCTAGTATTTAATGAAAAATATCCAGAAGTCTTCATAAAATCTAAAAGGAAAGAAATCTTTTTGCTTCTTTGTTACTGTGTGCAGTGCTGCTTTTCCTGAAAAACCAACACAAGATAATGTACATTGAGTATATTTAACTACATTTTATGATCTTTAAAAGATGCCTCCATAGTATGGATAGGATATATTCCAAAAATTAGTCTATACATTGATTGCTGGAACATATCCTGAAGAAACAACTTGAATGATAGTTTTTCAGAACATCTCATAAAACCCTATCTAACTAGGTGTGATTAAAGTGCCAATAATATAATGCCACATTAAACATAAACAGCCCTTTTTAAATTCAATAACAATGACCAGACACTGAACAATGTGATTTACATTCATACTCTTAATTAACTTTCAAAGTACTGTAAGATATATATTGACTCTTCTTTATGATAGAGGATACCTAAGGAAAAAATATTCAAAAGCTTGCTCAGATCACACAACATTGCAGTCAGGGTATGAATTCATATCCAGCTGACTCAAAGCTCTTACTCCTTACCACTATGCTACCTTTATAAGTCAGAAATATTTATATACCAGACAGTGTGTTCAGTTTTCTGTAGAATTCACATCATACATTTTAGCAGAACTGAGGATATGTGTTAACTATAAGATAGGATCATAATAAATGCTACAAAAGAGGTATAGATAAGGGTAAAATTATTGTAGGAGCAAAAACAGTAACATTTACATGCAGTGGTTTACAAATAGTTGTATGTTTGGGATTGTTTGGATTTGAGTTTTGTTTTTAATTATTAATATAGGTTGCTAAAATGTATTTGCAATATATTTAATATTGTTTTTAAAATAATCACTAACAGTTCACAGAAGAAAAGCTTGGCCAGGCAGAGAAGACAGAATTGGATGCTCACTTAGAGAACCTTCTTAGCAAAGCTGAATGTACCAAAATATGGACAGAAAAAATAATGAAACAAACTGAAGTGTTATTGCAACCAAATCCAAGTAAGAAACTTTTTACCTTTTGCCTACCTTATTGACTATTCCTATTAAAAAGTTCTGTTAGTAGGATTTTTAATATTAAAAAAAGTTTTAATTTCTATTGGAAAACAGAATTTTTTGTTTATAGCTTTGAGATTATGGTTATTTTTTGTGTGCCTTGGTTAAGAAGAGGGTGATAAACATTTCTTTGTGTATCACCTAACAAACTGACAACATTTTTAAGGCTTTTGTAAAATCCTCTTGAAAATTCAATTTCAGGCAGTGACTTTGAATTTTAAGAGATATAAAGGTCTATGAAAATAAATTACTCTTCCTGCTTCATCCAAGGAAGAATTATTCCTAAATAATTAAGGGGAAAGTTAATTCGTTACCACTTGTTTATGTTAAGTTTTATGTTTTTACAGAAATTACTCCATTTGATTTTCTGACAACCCTAAGCAGATCACTAAATAACCAAATAACCTTGCAAATAAGATGCACCATAATTGTTTATTAATTGAAACTCACAAGTTAGCATTTTTGTCTAATTTAGTATAGCTAATTAGAAGGGGAACTTGAACTAGAACCAAGCACATTGATAGTCTTCACTGGGAGCTTATATATCAAAATTGAAGGACAAAGGCAACAATGCATGCTTTCCTTCCTCTTTTCCCCCAATGTTATTGTGACCATGTTGTGAGTGCCATAAACTTATTTTTAAGTACTTAAAATTCCAACTTTGTTGCTATTGCATAAAAACTCAAGCACTGTACAAACTATTAGTAATTCTGTGCAGTTTTATTTAAATTGCAGTGACTTTTTAAACTAAGCCTTTTACACTTTGAGGCCTAGTCTTTGGATACTATGTGGTATTTGTTATTCACTTAAGGCTACTTAAATTATATACCATGGCACCTAAAAAAAAAAGTAGAAGGTTTCCCTCTTATTCCTTGCTCTATCCAGAGTTCCTCGCACACATAGTCTGTTCTAAAAGATGTTTTCCAGAATGGCAAATAAAGTTATGCATGACTGGTAAACAGGAATGGTGTTCTTATAAAGAAGTTATAATGGCTCATCAATATTATTTTATATTAGTGTTTTAATTCAAAAGTAGTAACAGAATTCTTTTTATTTTTTTGTTTGTGCTCTGGTTATAGAGTTACTTAGGTTTTGTGTGGTTAAACCCAGCTCTTTTTCTGTAAGCCCTGTTATTTTTAGTGTATGATTTTTTAGAACCTAGGGTTTTTCAGAAATATATATTGAATTATAGCAGAGTTGCATAAATGTTTTTTAAGACTTAGTGAAATGAAACATTTATTTAAAATATACCAAATGTTTTATTAACTGAATGAAATCAACATGGGATTTATACTTTTGACCAAATAGGTAGAAAGCAGCAAAGCTAAGAAGTACTGTGGTGGTCAGAAAATGAGATTCTGAAACTTAGGTAACATCATCTAAATGATTCATTTTAAACTGACTCATTTTGGTTTTAACTAATTTAATGGCTTTTAAATTCCTGCTTAAAAACTCTTCAGATATGTTTTTATAATGAACACTTTTGCCAACTCCTGAAGTGTTTCTGTATTGGTTTAGCTTATTTTTGAAATTTCAGTGCACTGTGTAAAACTTAAACTTGTGGAGGAATTATGTGAGATAATTAAAAGGAACATATTTAACTTCTTTTTGGATTATAATTTTAATTTATATTTAATAATTGTTTCTGGAAATTTGGACTTTTTCTCATTTGTCTCTGAAATACCTAACTATTAGGCAGCAATGTGAATGTGAGTTTCTTGACTGTTACACTAAAATGTTTATTCATATTTTTCCTTTCCATTTATACTAATGTTCTATAATTGCTTTTAACCTTTTGTCTTGTAATTTAATCTTATTTGTAATGGTGAAATCTTGAGTGACTACATGCTCAGAGGTATCTATGTATCTATATACTTTAAATATAATTAAATACAATTAAGCCAAGGCATCATATTGCTGATTTCTGTCTGAAGACTATTCCAAGCCTGGATTACTCTATTCTTAAACCCCTATGCCTATATTTAGACTCTAGGAGGGAGAGACAGCTTTGAGCAAGCAAAAGCCCAAAAAAGATGTCAGAAGTATATGACTCTTTGGTTCTTAAAGGTACCTTATATCCATATTTTCATAGTTGAAAAATCCTGCTTTTGAAATTGAAAACATATATTCAGAGATAAAAGTTAGACATATGAATGGGGCAAATGCAATTTTACTAGATATAAAGTGAATACCAGCCCTTTTTTGGAACTTAAAATCCCATAAAATACTCATATAATGGTTTTACTTTACTTTAAAATATTTTGTTCCAAAATATTTTTCATATTTCTAAAATAGTAAGTTTCTTAGAGCTATATAATACTCAATATATAAATTAAAAAATTATCCTATATAATAAAAGGGTAATATGCAAATCAACCGAACAACGGAATAACCAGTGGCTGTGATGTGCACTGACCACCAGGGGGCAGATACTCAATGCAGAAGCTGCCCCGTGGTGGTCAGTGCTCTACCACAGGGGGAGCGCCACTCAGCCACAAGCTGGGTTGATGCCTGGCAAGCACAGTGGTGGTGGCGGGAACCTCTCCCGCCTCCGCAGCAGCACTAAGGATGTCCCACTGCAGCTTAGGCCCGCTCTCCAATGTCCCACTGCAGCTTAGGCCCGCTCCCCACGGGGAGCGGGCCTAAGCCGTGAGTCAGACATCCCCTGAGGGCTCCCGGACTGCAAAAGGGTGAGGGACCCCCCCTACCCCTAGAGTACATGAACATTGTATGCTGGGCCTCCAGTATATTAATATAAGTACTTGAAAGCATGCTAATTTCATATTAATTTTCCAGGGTGATAAATGTCTGGTAGCGGAACAAAAGAGTCTTTTAAATAGTTTTGCTATTTTGAAATTGGTAATTTTAAACTGTTCTTGTAGATGCCAGGATAGAAGAATTCGTTTATGAGAAACTGGATAGAAAAGCTCCAAGTCGTGTAAACAACCCAGAACTTTTGGGACAATATATGATTGATGCAGGGACTGAGTTTGGCCCTGGAACAGCTTATGGTAAGTGAGAGGCAAAAGGTCTATTAACAAATATCTTGTAGATTTTTACTACTTAGAGACATCATTAACATTTACCTAATATCAGTGGACTCACTTTTAACTTCAAAATTTTTATGTTAAAATTTTCAATGAAGTGAGAATTATCAGTAACAAATAAGTATGTTCATTTCAATTTAATTTAATTTATTTAAGCATATGTTGTTCTGAGATTTCATATGATCTTTTTAGGTTTAAAATGTTAAATGTATTCTTCACTTATACTCTTGCAATATCTCTGTTGTGGTACTTAAGATACATTGTAGTTTCTGTTTACATATGTCTCTTTTTTTCAAGCTTCTTGAGGGCTTATTTTATAAGTGGGAATCACTGTTGCTTTCATTACACATAATGTCATTAATATAAAAATGTTAACAATGGTTATCTCTGGATGTTTGGATTACATTTCATTTCTATTTTCTTCATATAGTTTCATTTTTTTATGATCATGTTTTACAGTTTCTCCAGCTTTGTTAGTTGTTATACTGACTCTTTTAATGTATAACTCTGGAGTTCAAAGTTATATACTATTATCCTTCAAATCTAATTTTCTCAGAATATACAGCAATTTTGGATTTCTATAGCTTTTTTCCTATTGTTCGTCTTTTTAAGACTTCTGCAAGAAATTGGTTCTAAAAATGGATATGAAATGATAGGTAAAATAAATGATTTTTTATATATAGTCCTGATTTATGAAATAGTTCATAAATTCTGGAACTTAAACTTTAGTAGGTCTCTTCTTTATGTCAGAGGAAATAACCTAAATACTGTGTAATCAGTGCCATTTAACCCATTTAGATGTACAACTTTAAAATTTTTACATTGTGTTCTTCAAAATATAATTTTTTTCAGAAGTAGGGAGATACTTTAAATCTTTACAGTTTTATTTCTAAAGTTTAACTATTAATTTTAGAAAAACTATATACATTAAGCAGATTTTTTTATTATCTGCTTATGCCAGGCACAGTTTTATGGAGTCATAAAAGTTTAAGGAGACCCAGGTCTTTCCTTCACCAAAATGAAGGCCTGGTGGAACATGATCATTTGAAAGGCTTCTAAATTTTTTTCTTTTATAATTTACTTAATCTGTTTTTATCTCTAGTAATTCCATTGAATATACCCTGATTATTGGAATTGGGCTTTGAGAATATATATTATTAATTGATAATAGCTAACAATTGAGTATTCCAAGCATTGGAATACTGTATATAAGTATTATTTTAATAAATCTCCACTTTATATCCTACTTATAAATTCTATCTCCATTTTAAAAAAAGGAAACTGAGTCTAAGAGAGGTTACATAATTCATCCATGATCGTATACCTAGTAATTCAAATGTAGATCTGTATCCAGAAATTGAGCTCTTAACTGCTATGTTATATTATTACTTCCTTACCAATCAGATCTAATCTCATTCTAACGTGAAGGAATTAAGTTCCACAGAACTAAAGCTTATTAGAGATAGAACTGGGAGTAGAATCTTAATCCTGTGGTTCCCTTTTCTTTCACTATTTTCCACAGTACTTTTCTTTCAAAACATGGATTTTTTCTTTAACTTAAAATACAAATATATGGCATACTGTTATTTGTAGATATTTGAGATAAGTACATAAATATAGAAACAGAAGTCAAATTTTGACTTGATCTACTTAGTAAAATATTTTAAGCACTATACTTTTATAAACAAATCTACACTATTTGAGCTGTGATGGTACATACTTTTCATTGTATCCATCCTCTTTTGTCCCATTGATACAATTAGTACAATTAACTCTGACATGAGTTTATCTTTGTCATTTTTATTTAGATATTTATAATCTTAATAACTTTTAAAATAAAACTGCCTTATTTTAGTTATTTTATTTAAAATAAAAGTTATTTATATTTGATTTTTACTTAAGTAAACAAGTGACAACTATGAAGCAGATCAAATTGCTGATTTATGTTGACATGATTCTGTTTTCCAACATTATCAGACAATGGTTTAAAAAAAACTTTTTTTTTCCTTTTCAGGTAATGCTCTTATTAAGTGTGGAGAAACACAAAAGCGAATTGGAACTGCAGACAGAGAGCTGATTCAAACAGCAGCTTTAAATTTTCTCACTCCTTTAAGAAACTTTATAGAAGGAGATTATAAAACAATTGCTGTGAGTTGAAAGTGCTTTAATTTTTATTAAAATATTTAGATATATATTTACAGTTTTTAGTGAATAATTTGCCATCTTAACTATGTAGATGTCACAGATTAGAAATTTTAAATAACCTAGCTAGGTATGTATTTAACAGAACACAAAGCTAATTAAAATAAAGGACTATTGATGATACGGACTCCATTTTTGTGTCCCTGTTATTGAGATACTCTTACATCATTCTTACTTATTACCAGCATTAAAATCTATAGAGAGAGGTTCCTGTAATGATTATTAAAATATGGCACAAAATATCACCATAGTATAGCCATTAAACTGGGAGCCAGAAACCTAATTATTAGAAGCTATATTTCTGGCTATTAGACTTCCTGTCTTTTTGCATCCCTAGAAGTCTGTTTTCTTTTCACATAGCTGTGTTATTTGCTGATGTGTAAGAAATATCACTTTCCCAAACCCAATCTATTAGTCTATTATTAAGTGATGGAGGATGGAGATTTAGGTGGCTATTTTTTCTAAGATTATTGCAAGACTGCTCTATTTTAAATATTGCAGGTTTCGTGTTATAAAATATTACAGAAAACATATTTACAATGAATTTATCTCTAGGTAAAAGTATTTGGCTGAGACAAAGGAAAAATCAGCAAGTTGAAATACAATTTAAAAGATTAGATTGTCAATGGGATGAAATTTGATATATGAAATCTGTCTGAAAATTAATAAAACAAAAACAGTGACTATTTTATAGAAGCTCGAAGTTCCCATGAGAAATTTGATGTTTATTCATTATCTATTCTGTAAGTTGGAGTAGTAGAGTTGCTCTCCATGCTATGGTACATGTGATCACATAGCGTATCAAGCAGCTTTACGCTAGGCCTATACTTCCTTCATCATAGGCACTTTCTAGATAAACTGTAATGCTGTAAAAGTTTTTCATTCCAGTCTGGCCGGTGTGACTCAGTGGTTAAGCATCGACCCATGTACCAAGAGGTTGTGGTTCGATACCCGGTCAGGGCACGTGCCCGGGTTGCAGGCTTGATCCACAGTGTGGGGTGTGCAGGAGGCAGCCGATCGATGTTTCTCTCCTTCTCTCTGAAATCAGTAAAAATATTTAAATTTTTTTTAAGTTTTTCATCCTGGGCACTACTGACATTTTAGGCTGAATAATTCTTTGTTGTGGGAGCTATACTGCATTGTGGAGATGTTTAGCAGCATTCTTCGCTTCTACCATTAGATGCTAGTAATATTCCTCCCCCAGTTGTGATAACCAAGAAGATATTGCCAAATGTTTCCTGGGGAGCAAAATCCCAAAGTATTAAAAATAATATTTCTGTTTTCACTGTCACCTACCATCTTACCCAGATATCCAGAATGTCTCTATTGTTTTAAAATTGAGAACAGTAGGAAAAAGGAGTCAAATACTGTATAGCCAGTTTTGTAATTATAGATCTCAGTTTATTAGATGATTCTTATATTTTATGGAAAATAATACTTTAAATACTAATGTAAAATAATACTTTAAAAGTATGCTCTTACTGGATTTTAATATTATTAGCCTTTATATTTTTCTTATAGAAAGAAAGAAAGCTACTACAAAATAAGAGACTGGATTTGGATGCTGCAAAAACCAGACTAAAAAAGGCAAAAGCTGCAGAAACTAGAGCTTCAGTAAGTAGTGTTCTTTAATTTAAAAAACATTTTAGGTTAATAATTTTCAGACTTGTAAAATATTTTACTCATATACAGTGCAAGCTACAATTTGTCAATAAGACTAGAATATGACTTTAGAGTGTTGTTTTTGTTATCAGAACTTAATACATCCAAATCAGTGCAAAGGAGTTATATCAGCAGGCAATATTCTTATTTCAGTGATACCCCTGTTGCTAAAAAACAAAAATTATGAGAATTATGAGCTCCTCAAGCTGTGTCATGTTGTTTAAATATCCTCAGTCACCAGTGATTGCAAATAGATTTTTTGGAGATAGCTTTATTATATTTGAAATAGAAAAACAAACAGTAATTCAGATGAGAATGAATCACACTAGAGAATGCTTGTGTGTGGCTTAAAAGGTAGATGTAACTCTTTCCACATGTGACTCAAACTGACTAAAGGAGTTGTCACCAAGAATAGCTCCAAAAACATTCAAACAGTGGCAACAGGGACTGACAGGTGACTGCTTTGCAGGGAAGGAAACCTATTTGGATAAATAAGTTCTTGTATACTTTCCATAAAAACAATCTCAGATAAAACTGAGTGGGTATATATTAAATGTAGTAATTCAATGATATGTATATAAAACTTTGTGTAAAGGTTTTATTTATAAGCTTCTTATTTAATCTAACATTTATATTGTTTAAATCTTTATTCCAAAGTTTGAAGAAATGAATCAGATTTGAATTGGAACAACTTTGTGATAGTACAAATATAAACAAGTCTGGATTTATTAGAGGACGCTAATAAGTTAATTCTTAATTTGAGCTAAGAGATATGTTTTGTTAAAAGCCTTATTACATTCCCACTGCCTTCTGTTCACAATTCACTACCACTACCACCATCAAAAATCATTGCCTTAAGGAGCATGTTACCACAGTATTGGTAAAAGTCTCTTGTGCCTGTCATTTTGGGAAAGAAAAGACTGAGACTTGATTTTGAATGAAATTTAAAACTGATAACTTGGTATTGGACAGTGATGTCTTATGAGATTACCCCAGTACCTTGTATGTGCAAAATAAATTATTTTCTTCTATACTGTTTCTCTTTTGGAGATTCTGTATTAGTTACTGCAGGAAACATGCTATCTTTGACAGGACAGTAATTCCAAATTCACTGTCAATTTTACCTCAGAATTATCCTGATATCATCTTCAGGAACAGCCTAACTTCCTTAAATAGGCTTTTTGCATTTACTTCCGTTTACTTAGAGAATACAGAAAAATAGAAACCACCAGAAGTTTGGGTTTGCTTTATTCTTTTCTTCTTTGACACATTTCCTAGTTTTAAGTGGCAGCTGAAGAGGTTACTGTAACCTCGAACTTTCTTTGATTTTGCTTATTTATAAATTTCCATGGATTGTTTTATGACTAGTTTATTCCTTTGAATGGGAAAGCTGTGGGTAGGCAAAAGGGCTTTCATAATGAAAATTTTAATAAAAATTATAGATAATGGCAGCAGTTTTTAAAGTGATGCATTTTCCCTAAATGATTTTAATTTTAAATCAGGCATCAACCATATTTTTTGTCTTTGAAAATTTGAATCTTTTGGAAAAATAAAATAGGTACCACCATGAAATTCCATAGAACAAATAGAGGGGTTTTTAAAAGTAATAATACCTGTTTGTGTGTTCTTTATTGTGCAGAAAAAACTTATTTCACTGTGTTCATTGGTATAATGTGTTCTTTGTCTCTTACCTATGTATTTAAGCAACTAAACTCAGCTCACCTTGAAGGAGATAACATTATGGTAAATTTCTCTTACATGCTCAACTTCCTGCATGTAAAATGGCTAAAGGTTTGTTGGCCTACTGTGTTTTCTACATCTTGAATAAAGTGCCTTCTCCTGCTATCATCTGCATTTAATGGTCTAAAATATTCAAAGACATGCATTCATTAGTTTAACAAAATATATGTGGAATAATAGCTTAAATAATATTGGAACTAAAAAGAAAGAATGTGTTCTAATTGCCAAATATATTAGCTATGCCAAATTCAGATTTTACAGTCTGAAGTTACACATAAATTTATTGTGCCTTTTATGCCCTATAAAAGATGTTAATTTAGCTGGCACTTTATATGTTCACTTTTGGCAAAGAAAATTAACAAAACTTACTTAACTTAGAGAAAGGGATAAGGTATACATATTTACTTTGTTTCTCAGTATCTTCTACGTCCCCTTAATTTTCACCCAAACTCAACATAGAATGAATTTCTTTTGCAATTCCAGGCCAAAACAAACCTCAATAGTTTTGGTATTTATGTAGTGGGAAGGCCCATTCCTCCATATGCTAATTCACTTAAGAAAATTGCAGAATAGAGACAATGGTGGACAAGAATTGAAAGTGAGAATTGTTATATATAGTATCCAAAGTATATATTGAGCTTGATTGGAGGAAATTTAGGAGATGCTAGGAATTTTTTAAAAATATATTTGTATTGATTTCAGAGAGGAAGGGAGAGGGAAAGAGAGATAGAAACATCAATGATGAGTGAGAATCATTGATTGGCTGCCTTCTGCACTCGCCCTACTGGGGGCAACCCAGGCATATACCTTGACTGGGAATCGAACTGGTGACCTCTTGGTTCCTTGGTCAACTGCTGAGCCACACCTGGCCGGCTGGGAATTTTTGATTTTTTAACATGATAGAAATATGAAAAATCTGAACACTGCCCAAATCTTAAAAGTGTTAGCTAGTAAAGATTTATGAGTATTTGGTATATTATACTCCTACATAAAGTACTTCCACAGAAGTGACATGGAAATTGTAGTAAAGTTGATAATAAATTGGCAGTTAAGTTAGCTGCTTTTATTCCCAATATTAGCATTGAACTAAAAGGGGCGGGGGGAGCAATCCATGAATCACTGACTAAATGAGGGCTTTCCTGAGATAGCAAGAGAATGCATTTATTTATTTCCATTGTCCTATCTGTAGGAAAATGAAAAGTGTGAGACTATTTCTTTCTGTCATTGGTAAGTTAGCATATAAATTGTAGATTTTCTTTTGTAAAAATATCCTAACCAATTAGCAAGACTGTTTCATTTATTAGGCACTTGTCTTACTACTGATATCATCTACTTATAATAAGATGTATTTAACTCTGGTAATTTTAAATTCATTATACTAGTATCTCTAGTTTATTGTCTCCCCCCCCCCCCCCATCCCAATGACTACATCCGTGTTCAGTGTACATTTACCTTTGCTTTATTTTAATTTCCTAAAGTTGTAGAGTTTAGGCCTAATGAGGAGTTAGAAATCATTTGGTCCAAACTTTTATAAATAAGAAAACTAGAACTAAGAGGGGTTAAATATTCCATTTTAGGAAACTGTTATTCTTATTAATTTATAGAATCAGTATAAGATTCAAAAATCAATAGTATTTATACATATGAAGGCATACTTTCACAGTATATTAAGCTGTACTAATTTAGTTACTACTATATTTCACCTGATAATGTGATCCTGAGAAAAGGAGTATGCCATTTGAACTAAAATATTTACATTTCTCTATACTAAGTTGTAGAAAATGTTAAATTCCAACTTTCATGCTGTATATTTTTCTCTAATTTTTAATGCTGGCTAGATTTGGGCAGAGGAAGTGACAAAAGTAAGTAAATTATTAAACTACAGAATTATGAAACAAATTTAATTGTCATTCACTCAGAGAATATTGGACGATAACCGTGGGGCTAGTCACAGTCTTTGTTACTGTATCTTATAAAATCTGAAAATGATTATGGAACACTCAGGTCCACAGAGCAACAGGACAGTGCTGCAGAGATATTGTTTGCACACACTATTGATACCTGATAGATTAAGTGGTAATCTTTATAGTGCCTTGCCAGAGACAGTTTAAATACTTGGTTTATTCATATGGCAATTATGTAAAATATAGTTAACATCATATTCTCTGTGTTCGTGTCACACAAGTAAATTTTCTAGGTAACTGAAGCTTGTTCTCTCCAGCACCAAAGCTTATTTTTCTGTCACTTTAGTTAAAAACATTTGTTAAAAAAAAGTATTTTGATGCTGCATTAAACAGGATAACATATACAGAATTTTACTTAAAGTTAGGGTCTTTATTATGAATATTCATTATTATACTGTGTAACAATTAGATCTTTTGTTTTTGAAGTGTGTTGTCTTCTTGTCAAACTGTCACTTTTAGAAGTTGTCCATATGTCTGCGACTAGCCTGTTGTTATCATTTCTAATCTTTCTGGGCTGAGAAATCAAATAACTAAGCAAGAATTTAATAAATAAAATCATGACTTTAGTGCAGATTTGTTTTAAATGCTATTGGAAATCTTCAGAAGCGTTTTTCATTTATTTATTTTTTGACAGTAGGATTGCTGACTGTACGGTCTGTTCTGTGCATAGGTTATGGAGCTGTTGATTCTATGACTTGGCAATCCAATGTGAAATTCTTAACTTATATTCTCATCCCCCTTTGTGGAATCTATTCATCAATTTAGCTATAGTTTCACCCTGGCCTCTGATGTCTTTTAGAACTTCTAGCATGAAAAGATGGCAGAGTAATATAGAAGAGAATATAGATTACGCAAGAAAACCAGGGTCTTCTCTTGCACTTTGGTTAGCATGCAAGTATAGTTAAAAAATTTATTTGATTCAATCTCTACAACTTTGGGAAATATTTGATATAATGGGAAACAATTCATGAAACAAATATTTATATTATGTATATATGAGAGGAACTTAAAAAATATATCAAAAATTCTTCTGTAAATCTCACTTTTGTCATAATTTAAAAATGTTTAATTTATGTTTCTGGAATATTTTAAAGATTTAAGCCTATAGGATAAAGTAAGTAACACTGACAAAGTTTGTCACAGAAAATACATGATTTAAATTTCTAGCTGATATCACAGACCAACAAATTCTTGCCCTTTTCCCAAGTTACATCTTAAAAGAACTTTTCTTGCTTTTCTGATCCAAGTTATGCTATCATATACTCTAGATCAGTGGTTCCCAACGTGGAGCACATGCCCCACAGGGAGGCAATTTGATTTTTAAGGAGGGCAATTCGAGAATGAGTTATTAACAGTGAATTTTTTGCATTTCTTATGGTTCTAGGGGCCTCATATATAGTATATAAATATATTTTGTGTTATATTTATGCATTTCAGTTCTCTATTATGTGTTTTGAAACTTTATTTGCTATTTTTTCATATCACTTCATATTACTATATTTTAAATAATTTCTTAGTTATTTCTTCCTCAGTATTTCAGCTGTCCTTTTGTTCTTTTATTTTTCTCTTTCATAGATGCCATATTCTTTGGAAGCTTGTTTAGACCAAGTTAATGGCCTTTTAGGCTTCCTCCACGTGAATAGGACTTCACTTTTTGAATAAGAATTATAGGTCACAGAAGGGGCATTGGGTTTTAGAGATGCTTAGGTGGGGCATGGCCAAAAAAAGGTTGGGGACCACTGCTCTAGATCAGTTAGCCCAGTAACAGTAATCTAAGCAGTAATTCTTTTCTCTAGAACTCTACCTTTTAATTGTAAAATTAAGTCAGGGAATAAGATCTTCTGGAGGACAGAATAAAAACTCTTTAAATTTATTGTCTTTCTTTAAACCCTTTTTACCTGTCTAGTATGGATCATTTTCTTCCTAAGTAAATTGATTATGCTGAACCTAATTTCAGTTAACCTCTGCCTCTCAGATTCAATTATATGTGTAGAAGTAGAAATTATTTGGGACTTCCATCGCTTGCAACTACCCCAGTACACACTGAAACTTGTTTGTTTGTTTTTTAATGAGATTTTTTTTTCTTCCTATCATTTACCTTTTCTAAATATAAAGTCTAGGTTGCTCAAACCTGGAAGTCTGATCCCTTGTCCTTGAGATTATTTTATTTTTTTATTCAGTGTCTTAGCTTTAAAACACTAGTTCCACATCTCCACACCAAATCACCTTGAAGCCTTGAAGCCTTCTTAACATCCTCACTCTTTGGAATCCATTGTCATCATTAACTTTGGTTATGCTTGTGTAAGGCAATCATGGTAGCATCCCCCTTAAAGGAAATAAATTTGAACCCTCTTTTCATATTTTGACTCACTGCCAGGTTATTAAAATGATTTGAAAGAAAAACAAAACAAAACATTATTTCTACTTCAGACTCAAACTTCCGTGTCACTTTTAATCTACTTAGCATACTTGTTTATACCTTGTACAAAAATATTGTCACTTAGTAGGCTTTTCTGCCATTAAAGCCTACTAAGGTTATTAATTCAAGTTGTACATGGAACTAGCCTCATTTATTTATTTTTGGTTTGTTATGGTTATTTCTATTAATCAAACTTTTTGCATTCAAGCAAGCAGAATAGTAAATAGTGCAAATGTAACACTGAAGTGATTGGTTTTCCTTAACATTTTCCTTAAGAAGAACATTGATTCTTCTCCTGGGACTTTTTTCCACTTCTTACTAGCTTCCAGATGAAGGTTACTTCAGCCCTGTATCAAAGCAGCATGTCTTCATGGTGGTTTTAGTCAAGTAAATTTAATTTTAACACGATTTATTGAGTAATGTAAGCTTACTTCTATAAATCCAATCTACTGGTCAGTTCTTAGTTCCCTCTGCCAGGCCTGTTGCCAGTGAAATTAGAATACTTAAGCAACTGATTATCTATTTTGCTGCCACTTCCTTGTTGATTGGTTCAATAGGCTAACTGTTGCCACCAGGGGTGAAAGAGAGGGAGATGGGGTATGAAAGGAAAAAGTTCAGACTTTTTATACTTAAAATAGTTTTACATAGTCCTGGAAATATTGCAATTATTTGGCTGGGGGTGGGAAGCTATTTATTCTGGAGAGGTGGAAAATATCATTATAATGTCATTAAAAATGATGATCCCCAGTGAGAGAGCTATTTTGAGTGACCTACTCACTTACTACCAACCAACTCTTGCTAAAAGTTTGAGAAGATGGTTTTGCCAGTATTTACTGTTTTTATATTATGTTGATTTTTTAGTGAACTGTTTTGTCCCAGCACTAAACCTATATCAATGATTGAAGCTAAGAGTAGTGTACTATTATACACACACCTCTTTCAAACTCCAAGTTCAGGGACTTGAGCTTGGTAGCTTGAAATCAACTGTGTAGGCGTATTTACACCATGAAAATAAATACATTAGTGCTTTTGTATTTCATAGAAAGTCAGTTTACCCCAGCACACCACTGATTAAAGGGCACCCATTACTTGCAGAAAAACCCTAGCATATCTTTTGGGTAATATTTCTGCTTAAAACATTATTTCATGCAAAGTTTGGAAAGAAAACTTAAAGACATTTATGTAGGATAAAGAATCCTTAGAAGAAACCTAAAAACTATGTTCTAGAAACAAGTGTATGTTTGGTAACACCTGAATGGTTAAAATCCTGTGGTTTTGTTCTGAAGTTGTTCATTTAATATTAAAGACTATCTTTAAGTTCAAAGTAAAGTAACTATAATAGTAGTTGAGGATTTTTTGAAATATTTTATACATGTAAACTAGTGATTTTAAGATTTTGTAAAATGGCAAAGTTGATACTTGGAAATATATTGGATGTCCCAGTAGTTTTTCTAGATTTTTATGTGTATGCCATTAAGCTTTGGCATTAATCGATTCTTTTGAGTCAAGTACTTGTAAGGAATCAGTTCTGTCTAGATTGAGTAATATAGAAAAACTAATGTCTAGAAACCAGGGACCAGTTTAGATACAAAAGCAGAATCAGAGAATTGCCAGATTATCATTTAGGATTTGTTTGGGGATTTTCTTTGACAGTCTACATAAATGTATGTAAAATGGACTAAGTCCTCTTAATGAGGTTCTAAAACTATGTTCCAATTTAAGTCTGAACAGGAATTAAGAATAACTCAAAGTGAATTCGATCGTCAGGCAGAGATTACCAGACTTCTGCTAGAAGGAATTAGCAGTACACACGTGAGTATTCATTTATTGGAAATTCATTTGGAACAAAGGACTTTGATAGTCCTCAGGCAATTTGCGGAAGAAAACCTGAACTTCCTTTTTAGTTATTTATCAGGGAAATTTAAACTGTGACACTTTTTAAGACATATGAAGAAATATTTTAAATTTTTATTTACACCCTATCACCTAGTTCTCCCACCATAATCAACCATTTGTTGGTTTTTGTTGGCTAAACAGTTTGTTATTACACAGTTGGCCATGGTCAGTCTTAATAAGCCTTGTAGTAAAGTGCTAGATACTAGTGATTCTCCCTGAGTACAGTGTTGTATTCTGTTTCCCCTTATGATAGATTATAGAGCTAAGAAGTGACTGTAACTTTCCTTCACAGGCCCATCACCTCCGCTGTCTGAATGACTTTGTAGAAGCCCAGATGACTTACTATGCACAATGTTACCAGTACATGTTAGACCTTCAGAAACAACTGGGAAGGTGGTAATTTTCTTTTCTCATGAAATTCCTGATAAGAAAAGAAATTCAGGCCTTGGCTTATAAAGTAGTATTAGAGGTGAAGATTAGAAAAATTAAAGGCTTTTATTAGCTTGCTTTAAGTCAGGTTTTTTATTTTTTTTATTTTTTTAATCTTCACCCAAGGATATTTTTCTATTGATTTTTAGAGAGAGGGAAAAACAGAAGTATCGGTGTGAGAGAAGCACCTCGGTTAGTTGCCTCCTGCATGAGCCTCAACCAGGACCCGGACCTGGAAGGAGCCTGCAACCAATGTACATGCCCTTGACCAGAATTGAACCCAGGACTCTTGGGTCCACAGGCCGACACTCTATCCACTGAGCCAAAATGGCTAGGGCAAAATCAGTTTTTTAAAAAAAGAAACCTATTATCAGACTTCTAAGGTTATAGAAAACATTTTGAGCTCTTCTAACACAGAAGAATGTTAACAGGGATGAGAAGATAATTTAAGTGAATACCTTTATAGCGCTATATAAAAATAGCTTCAAGAGTGTTTGAAGTTTACTTTTCAAGGAATAAGGCAAAAAATGTCCTCAACACTTTGATGTTCCTTTCTGCATATTAATCTTTCAAAACTAGACTTAGAACAAAATTAAGCACATTTACAAAACAATTTTAGATCTTAAAAATGAATTGTAGCCTAATACCATTAGTTATTCTAATAGGATTTATAGAAAGATTTACACTTCTTTTATATTTAAAGTTTTGTTAGTGGTATTAATATCTGAAAGCCGAATACCATTTTCTTCCCCACATCACTATAACTATTTTAAGTCCAAGAAGCTTTAGTACTTCCTATTCACTTTGTCCTAATACTCTGGGATTGCTGCAGAGGGGTTGCTATTGTTACCATTCATACTTGCTTTCTGCTTAAAACCACACAAATGCTTGGAATTCAGCCATTCAAACAAAATCTAGTTTCATTGCTACGCTTTAGGATAAACTCAAACATTACAAAGTGAAAATAGTGCTATTATTCGGAGAAAGAATGTCTAGCCTGTCTCTCTGCCCTCGATGAATTATATTACTGGTAATGACCTGTGATTGAGAGTGGGAAAACTTGTAGGTCTTTAAATGTAGAACTTGAAAGTCATCCAAATCCACAGTAACAAATTCAAGAGCTATTTCTGAATAGTAAAACCAGGTTGTAATGCTAATGGCTAAAATAGCAGTGTTGTTAGTAATAGTAACTGAAAAGCAGCAATCACTTAGGAAGGGCTCCAGTGTCCCCAGACACTCTTTTAGACACCTCATATGTAATAATGTTATAATCCTCACACCAGCGAAGTGGGTATTAATACATCCACATTTTATAGACAAGAAAACAGAAGCACTTCTCACAAGATTAGTAAATGTATTCTTAAATAACTGGGAAGTTTTAACATATCAGGTTACATCAGGAAGTCTAATTTTTTTTTAGTGTGTCATTAAAGTTCTTAAAAGGTGAAAAGGGCCTTTCAGGTTTTTTGGTTGGTTAGTGTTTTGTTTTGTTTTTTCCATAAATTCCCCAAAATTGACATAGGTAGACCTTAGTGGCTAAACAAAGGCCAAACATACTAGTAAATTTGAAAGTAAAATTCCATGGTTAGAGACTTTTAAAACCTCATAGGTAGAGAGAGAGGGCTTTATTTCTATCTTCAGAAATGTGTATATTTAATCACTGCTGAGGACTTGAGTTCACTCAGGAAAGAATGCTAGGAAATGTATTATCTTTAGAGGGAAACTTGAATTAGAAATGGAACCTACATTCTATTTGGGGGTAGAGGGAATCAGTGTATATGTGAATTACATCATATATTAGAAGGTGATAAATGCTATAGAGAAAAATACAGCAAGCTAGTACCTTGGTTAGGGTAGCTGTTTGTCAGGGAAGACAGAGACTTAGAAGATGTAAGGAAGCAAAATATGCTGCTCCAGGAAGGGTATAGCAGGAACAAAAAGCCCTGAAGCAGGGACATGGCTGTTACATTCAAGCAACAGCAAGGAGGGCTTGGTTGGAGATGAATTGAGGAGACGGAGCTGGAACACACAGGGCTCTGGAAGCCACTGTTTGGACTTAGGCCTTTATTCAGATATGAGAACCCTTTAGAGATTTTGATCTGAAGAGTGACATGATTGAGTGACATGATTTGATTTTAGCCTTTTAGAGAATCATTCTTGCTGCTCTGTTGAGGATAGTTGTTAGAGGGCATGGGATGGAAGTTGACAGACCTGTTTGGAACCTGTTGGAATGATTTAGTCACTCAGGAGATGATGGTGGCTTGGGTCAGGGTCATTGTGGTAGATGTGGGGGAAGTGGTCAAACTCTGGTTGTGAATTTTAAAAGTAGAGGCAGTAGGATTTGTTGACAGACTTCATGTGCACGAGGCTTAGAGGAGTCAAGATACTGCAAGAGGCATAATAAGCTGGTCAGCACACTTTGTCATTAAAATATCAACATCCATAAATCTCTATTCACAGTGAAAGTTGGTAGAAAGTAAACACTGCCATCAAGTGGTGGTATTCAGGAGCTTTGGTTGCTTGAAAATAGTTAATTAGCCATTTTCTTTTCAACAGTTTTCCATCCAGTTATCATTCTAACAACAATCAGACTTCCGTGGTACCTGTACCATCTGCTTCATCAAATGTGATTGGTTCTTCTGCCATGACTTCAAGTGGCCTAGTAATGACCTCTCCTTCCAACCTTATTGACCTTAAGGAGGGCAGTGGCAGCAGAAAGGCCAGGGTTCTATACGATTATGATGCTGCAAACAGTAGTGAATTATCACTTCTTGCAGATGAGGTGAGTAATGTGGGTATAAGAAGAAAACTATTGTAGATTGACATATCTTCTAGTATAACAAAATGCAAATTCCTCATTACTTATTTGGAAATAGTTTATCATGAATGCTTTCATAGATTTCAATTTTATAGAATTTTAACTACTATTCTTTAACAAAATATAACATCACATAAATATTTAAAGCTTTTAACTGCTAAATAACTGGAAGATTTCTAAAACTGCCTCTAAAAATATCCTTTAACTTTTAGAAAAATTGACAATAATGTTTAAAGTCCCTTGATAGTGAATAGTTAAATACAAATCTGATTAGTTTCCTATGTGTTTATTTTTTAACATAGTAACTGGAAATATTTTTATTTTGTAGGTGATCACTGTGTTCAGTGTCGTTGGAATGGATTCAGACTGGCTAATGGGGGAAAGGGGAAATCAGAAGGGTAGGGTGCCAATTACCTACTTAGAACTGCTCAATTAAATAGGTGGACTATGGAAAGATTATCCATCATGACACCCTATTTATATACAACTAACTCTAAATAAAGCAGGTTTAGTATCTTCCATGTTAATGTCTTAAAGAGACTGAAAAGAAAATACCAGCCGTCAGAAACGGGCTTTCTGCCAATAAAATTGCTTGGTAACTATTTCATTACAGAATTTATGTTAGAGCTTTCATACCAAGAATGTTTTCTTACAAAATTCTCTTTCTACTGAGGTTTCACTAATAAGCAGCTTCTACTTTTGAGCCCCAACTTAAAACAGAAGAACTGTTTTCTACTGAATTTTTCATTAATGGCAAGCTTTTTCTTTTCTGTAAAATAAATTTATTGTGAATTGATATCAGTGACTCATTTATTAGGTATAGCCAAAGAATAAAATTAAAATTTGTTTTTAACTTTTGGTTTCAGAAGAGACCTAGGATATAAACCTCTTTTGTGAAGAATATGTTTCTGAATGTTTCCTTGAACAGAAATGCAATTATACCATGTTTACCTTGTTTTCCAACAGAAGTTGAATGATTTCAATACCGTATTTCAATGGGTTATTTTGGGGGGGGGGATTGTTTATTTTATTAAACACTACTGAATGATTTAAATTTAAGAACAACTAGTCTTTGAAAAGCACTACCATATTTCTCTGGTATTTTTGCAGTAAAGGTTCTAAAACATCTGAGGCAAGTTCAGTTCACTAAGCAACTGAAGATTGCTTACTTTTAAGATTGTTCAGTTGGCACAGTTTAAGCATGATCAGAATTGGACTCATTAAGAACATACTGCAGTACAATACAGAGAATTTGTTCTTACTGAACAACAAATCTTTATAAAAATACAAACTAGTGAAACTACATTCATCATAAAGTGTATACAAACAATCCACTTTTGGTTACTCTGAGCTTACTAATAAAATTTTGAAAACTTATTAACTTATAAAATATTGATAAACTTAGTTTATCTTGATCAGGATCTGTAGTTATGAAACACACACTTACTGAAATTATTAGTGACACACTTTGAGTCAGAAAATAGTTATTTGGACCATTGCTGTGAATCAACAGATTGTGTCCATGTTAGAACTTCTATCATTCTTATTCTATCATTTATTAAGCATTTGTTGAGGTCCAGGTACTGTGTTGATAACAACAAGATGCAGAATAAGTGTCACTGTCATGATAGGATAAGGTACTGTGTTTCGGTGCTTTGGGTGTCACCTGATTGAGATTTGGTGAGTGGGAGGTGGTTTGAAGAGGAAGTGCTTCAAAGAGGAAAAGATGTGCCAGGCCTGGAGCCAAAAGAGTATAGCACATTCTGACAACGGAAAGTCATTCAGGCTAACTTACACAAGAATTGCAGAGATGTCGCTCACTTCAGGGAATGTTAGTATATCAAAATGATATTTTTTTTTTTGGTACTTTAAAAAATGATAAATACTTAACACAAAAGGATATTTCAAAATGGTGTTTAAGAGTTCCTAATAACTTGGTAAACATGTTGATAATTTAGCTCAGTCTAAACTTTTAACAGTAGTTGTTACCCTTTTATTTCGGTGCTATGAGACAAATTACTCTGAGATTTTATAGTTGTACAAGACACTTTGATTCACACTGTGAATTGTCATACTCAAGCCAAAAGCTGCTCAAGCTGGTTAGCTATAGAACCAAGTGAGCAAAGCTCCCCCCCCCACCCCCCCAGAAAGGAAGTTCTACAGACAGTCTAGAGTACTACCTATTATGTTTTATGAAGTCAAGATTTAGGCTTTAAAAATCATTAAAAAAAAATTCAGGTCAACTTTTAAAACAGCAACTATAAATCCAGTTTATAGGAAGTAGAGTAATGAAGGGGAGAGTATGACCACTGGAATGGAATGGTCCCTGGATTCAAATCCAGTCTTCCTCGCATACTGTGCTCTTTGAACTTCAACAGAGATAATGCATGAACTGCTGTTTCCTTATTAGTAAAATGGGGATAATTATGCCACCTTAAGGTTATTATTATCTTGTATGTTAGGCAATTTTTAGGGAAAGTTTTGACACATAGGAAATTCTCTACCAGTTTTCACTTTTTAGCCCTTGTAGCTTCCTGACGTACCAAGACTGTAGGCCTCGTTTATGACTGAACCAGAGATACCTCTTTTATATATATAATATGATATGATCTGTTCTACTCTTGTCCTATCCTCCACCCTCTTTAAATCAGACTCAGATCTAGGTTTAACCTCACCACAGTCAGTGTAAAATTTTATTAGACCCTTCTGCCTTCCACTAAATGAGTATTGACTATAGTAACCCAGTGATGTACATTAGCCTTCAATAATATTATGGTTCTAAGGCTTCTTGTGCCTTTGTTTACCACAAATCTACCACAACATGTGGGCTTATTCTTCTGTTTATTGCTTTTTATTTTAATGGATTTTTGTGTGCTTGTTGGGGATGGGGGTTAGTTTTATTTTGGTTTTGGCTTATTTTGTAAAGTCATAGATTTAATTTTTACTCAGGTAAAGGCCCATAAAGGTTCTCTAGGCATAGAAGAAAAGCTTGGGAAGCCTATTAATTCACGGTGCAATTCAGAATTATTGAAATAAACTTTGTGCCCCAGAGCTTAGGTATTGTAACATGTGAAGGATACACATGAATAAAAAATAAACTTGGAGATAACGATAGGCTCTTTTACAAATAAAAATAAGTGGTTGGGTTGTCTCTACATTTGTCCTCAAAGTAATCTAACCTAAAAGTCCATGGTGTTAAATCTGTTATTTTATGGTGCTAATTAGAAGAATTCATATTATAGAAGATTAGGGAAATAGGAATGTGCCTCACTCTGGGTAACGTGAGAAATAAACCTGAATCCGGTGGGTTAGAGTCCATCCTCCTAGGATGCTGTTACCTTCCACCAGCACAAGCGAACAGAATGTGAATGTAGGAGCTGGTGTTGGGAGGACATTTTCTGAGATAAATTGTGGGGAGGGTGATGGAATGCTGGACAAGAAGCTACAGCATTGTTTATTTAGGCTCAGCTCTGTTGACAGGAGTCCTCAAAAATCTCTACTGTACCTCCCAAATGCCTGAACTTTTGAAATATGTTGTCGTAGTGTGTAGCACCTCAAGCCTGGGTGAGGAGCCATAATAAATAGATGGCTTTGCAGTTTGACCTACAGCCAGCTTTGTCTCAACCCCTTCTCCACTTCTTGAGACTCAAAAGGGGAGGAAGGGTATTTAAGAGCACACCAGCCCTTTTCCCCACATTGTCCTAATTAGGAAGCCTACTCAGTAGGGCAGTGGTTCTCAGTGTGAGACCCCAAGATGGACAATAACAGCATACCTAGGAACTGTCAAAAATGCTAATTCATATTTCCAAGTACTTCCTACATTAGGTTGTACTGATTTTTTTTCTTCAATGAGCTGTAGAACTAGTCTTAGTTCTTCATGTAACATTTTAAGACAAAAATTGTCTTCTAGCATTAATCAAAATTATAGTTACTTTTATAATTTATTTGTTTAGTATATATTGATCACTTAAGAATGCAGGCTTTCTGAGATGCAGACCATAATTCTTTTGATCACAGTTGTTAGCTTAAGGCTAGCACATAGTGTGTACTCAATAAATATTTGTTGTGTGTGGGGGGAAAAAACTATTTCTAAGCCATATCCAAGATCTACTTAATCAAACTCTGAGGTAGGACCTAGCAATCTGTTTTTACAAACCACATGGTGATTGTTCTGTTAAGGTAGAGAACCACTTCAGTAGAACAAGGAAAACTTCCCTGTCATCTTCAGGCCTATTATCTGAAATCACTTGAGAAATTCCTGCCTTCTGCACCTGTACCAACAACAGTGCTGTCTTCAGGGTAGAGGAATCTTGTTGGGCTATATTATAAAGTGGATGTGAAGGTAGAGTATAGAATGCCAGTACTTGGTTGCTGTGGGAGTTAGTGGGATAGTCTGAGAAAGGTAAGCCCAACAACCCCCATTTCCACTCAGTGCAGTGGCAGTTTGACATCAGAGCACCCCAACAAACCATTATAGTGGTATCAGACTAACGTGCATCTCTGACTCAGGTTGCTAAGCTCTGCTCTCATTCCCACTTCAAAGGAGGTTTGTTTAAGAATTGTTAATGCTTTCTTAATAAAAGTCAGATGTGGTGGTAAAAAGGAAAATAATGTGAAAATATAGCTTAAAAGATAAAAATAACCTATAATACCACCATCCAGGGAGAACTGTTACTTAGGTGTATAGCCTTCCAGACTCTTCCATGCTTTTGTAGATATTTTTAAGTGGGATCAACTTGTACATACTGTTTTGTAACTTTTTCACTTGACAACACCATGACCATCCTGCTGTGTCAAATGTATTGCTGCATCTTTTTTAATAGCTGCATGGTATTCCATCATATGTGCCACATTTTACTAAACGACTGTCAATTTCTAAGTTGTTTCTAATTTTTCACTAATAAACTGCTTTAAAGAACATCGTGTTACTAATCTTTTATGTGTTCTTAATATTCCTTAAGATGAGTACATGGAAGTGGAATTGCTAGTGGAAAGAAGATGCCAATTTTTAAAAGCTTTTGTTACTGCCACTTTGACCCCTAGAAAACTTAATCAATTTATACATTTTTATTAGTAGTGTATGAAATTGTTTCTTTTTGGAGGGCTTCCAACTGAATGTTCTTATAGCCTTCTGTTTAAAAATAAAGGGTAAGAGGACGATAAAAGGACTCTGCAGCCCTAGTCTGTGTATTCAGTGGTTAGAGCATGAGCCCACACACCATAGGCTGGCAGGTTTGATTCCCAGTCATGGGCACATACCTCAGTTGCAGGTTTGACCTGGTCTCAGTCAGGGCGCCTGTAGGAGGCAACCAGTCGATGTGTCTCTCTCACATCAATGTTTCTCCCCCCAACCCTCACCCTACTCTGTCTCTGAAAAGCAATGGAAAAAATATCCTCCAGTGAATTTTAAAAAAAATAAGGACCCTGCAAAATTGAAACCAAGATCAATCTTAAATTATTCTAACATTACATAGTTTACTAGTCTACCTTCTATTATGTATTTTGTCATTCTTTGGGAATGTTTGTAGTATTAGCTTGCCTCTTACTTTTATTCGATCTTCTGGAACCACTATCCCCTTCCTGACTTTTGCTGAAATGGTAGGAACACAATCTTAAGTAGACTGGAATCTTGTAAATTTGATTCAGGCTTACTGTTGGTTTGGGGGAGCATGGCCATAATAGAGAAAGGAGAAACTTTGAAGGGCAGACAGACACTGGCTCTCCCACTTGGTTTCCTGGCTTTGTGTCAGTCAACCTCTTTGAGCTTGTTTGCTTATCTCTAGAAATATAAGCCTCTGTAAGGTTGAAAGGAGTTGCCATATTATAGACAAAGTGCCTAGCACTTAGTAGATAATAATTTATTAGGGTTTCCAGCTGAGTATGTTAGATCCGTTGCTACTACCAGCCTCTGTGGGGTAAACACCACTGCCATTGCCAAATCTGCCTTAAAAGCTGTCACAGTAAGTGGACATTGCCTCGTACATCCTGTACCTACAAAATCTAGTTCTTAAAGATTTTTCCACACTCCAGTATTCAAGTAACCTAACCAGATAAAACTCCCCAACAAGGTGTCTAATGGAAAATTTCAACTCCTGTGCTTTTATAGTGGTGTATCAAAGTGATAATCATTCTAAAATGGTGAGCTCGCATGGCAGCCATGCCTTTTAATTGAGACTGCCCCACCTTAGCCCACAGCTGCTCTTTGTGCTTTGGAGGGCTTGTCCTCCACCTGTGAGAACCTGACACACGGTTCAGCTCAATCAAGGTGATGGTAATTAGCCAAGTCCCAGTGGCATCTCCAGAACAGGAGAACAGAAAGGATTAGTCCATTATGAAAGAAGTTTGTTTAGAGAAGTATCTGAACTCTAAAATTTGCTCAGCAAAACTTCCAAAAGGTTAACAGCTAAGTAATCATAGCAGACAAAAGCCCCAAGTATCAACCCATTTTCACATTGCGATGAATGCCTGTAACTTTATATTAGCACTGGTTTGTTGATTATAACTTGAACTACTCAGCCAATAAAAAGTGAGTAAGAGAACTTCAAAGGAGTGAAAACAAGGAAGGCTTCAGGTCTATGAGACTAAAACAAAATTTAGTGACTGACTATGAGGTAAAAGAAGATGGCTATTATACAAGCAACTTTTCTGGAAGTGTGATGACTACGGTTTAGGGCATGTTTCTACCTACCCCCATGTTCTAATGAAACTTGAGCTGTAGTAGGTAGTCCCCAACATCCACCTACTTTGATGCCTGCTTGCCTTTTGTATGCAATTTTGCTGAAATGGTAGGAACACAATCTTCTACAGCCACTGTGGAAGACAGTATGGAGTTTCCTCAAAAAGTTAAAAATGGAACTCGCATTTGCCCCAGTAATCCCATTCCTAGGTCTATATCCCAAGAAACCAGAAACACCAATCAGGAAGGATATATGCACCTCTATGTTCACAGCAGCAAAATTTACAATAGCTAAGATTTAGAAACAGCCTAAGTGCCCATCAGCAGATGAGTGGATTAAAAAACTGTGGTACATCTATACAATGGAATACTACGCCGCTATAGAAAAGAAGAAACCTTTAACATTTGCAACAACATAGATGGAACTGGAGAACATTATGCTAAGCGAAATAAGCCAGTCGGTGAAAGATAAATATCACATGAACTCATCCATAAGTAGGATATAATGACCAACATAGTTTGATGAACAAGAATAGATCGATCTAGAGACAAATGGTGGGGGAGGCAGGGGTTAGAGAGCAACCAAAGGACTTGTATGCATGCATATTAGCATAACCAATGGACACACACACTGGGGTGGTGGGGGCTTGCCTGGGTGGGACTGGCTTGGGGGGGGGGGTCAATTGGGGAAAAAGGAGACATATGTAAGACTTTAGACAATCACTTATATTTAAAACCACTGTTTCAATGCACACAAATATATATACTGAGTGGCCAGATTATTATGACCACCTGACGTTTGTAGGCAAAGTAGCTGTAATTTCCTGCTGAAGTTGCTAGAGGGCCAGATCATTATAAACATCTGAATAGCACAACATACCTAAGTATCATTGCTGATCAAGTTCATCCTATCATATTGATGGTGTATCCCAATGGATATGGCTTCTTCCAACAAGATAATGTGCCATGCCACGGTGCTCGTATTGTGCAGGAGTGGTTTCAAGAACATGAGGGAGACTTTACCTTGCTTAGGTGGCCCCCACAATCACCAGATCTCAATCTAATTGTGCATTTGTGGGATGAAGTTAAAAGAGCCATCATGCAGCTGGTTCCACAACCATCAAATCTCACAGAACTAGACAGTGCTATTCATCAGGCATGGTGTCAGATTCCTCGCATCACCTTTCAACATCTCGTGGAGTCAATGCCAAGAAGAATCACCGCAGTATTGAAGGCAAAAGGTGGCCCAACGAAGTACTGATGGGGTGGTCATAATAATCAGGCCGGTCATAATAATATGGCCACTCAGTGTGTGTGTGTGTGTGTGTGTGTGTGTATATATATATATGTGTGTGTGTGTGTGTGTGTGTGTTTCAAACATACACACAAAAGTAGATGGTTAAGAAAATATATACCATATAACAGGGGAAAGTAAACGTGCAAATGAAAAATGAAAAAAAAAAAACAGTCAAAAATGCACAATATATCTTGCTCATGCATGAGTGACAAATCTGACTCAGACTCTAGCAGCCAAAGTAAGGAAGGAAGCAAAGCATGATCAACCTGCAAACAGCAGAAGGCCACTCACTAGGGCAGACACTGAAGACAATGTCAAGCACCAAAACAGCTAACTTACCAGACCAGAGCTCTTGCCCTGATTCAGGGTTCAATGTTACGCAACTGCTGTATTGCAGTTTTCATCAACCTGGGAGTACAGATGAGCACAAAATGCCTCACTCTAACACCCTGAAATACAATGACTCTGAGACCTCACCTGTCAGAGCATAAGGAAGTGGAGGATTCCCCTTCCCTAGAGATTACTACCAATCTCCAGGATACTTATGTCTACAAACCAATCCTCTTCCTTCCTACCTCCTGATGGGACTCAAGGGCCACCCTCCTGTCTCATTCCAGCACAGTTTTGGCCTCCTCACCATCTCACACTCCTAACCCAGTTGCCTTACAAACTTTCCGTGGCCACTGCCAGTGAAGCAGGGTTTAGCAGGCTGTACATTGGTTAAGATGGGAAGGTCACCACTGGCCCCTGAGGCAGCATTCTACAGAAGCGGGTATGGAATGCTGTTTAATATACAGTAGTTCCATTATACGCAAGTTGCTCATGAGGACTCAAAGTCTTACAGCAGTTGCATGATAGAGCTCCTTTTGTCTCCTACACAACTCACGGGGACCCACCGCCTCAATAACCTCATGGTGACAGGGATCTTACCCAGGCACCTGTGCTTCTTGCTAACCCCTAGCCCACCCCCTTCTTCAATGCCATCTACAGTCCCCAGTGCCTGCTTCTTCAGACAGATACGGAAGTCAGAGCACTATGGCATGGTAACAGGCCATGTCTTCCTGCCCTGTTATGGGCCTCTCAAAGCACAAGAGCTCTTCCAGTGTACGTACACACAGTTCTTTCAGGAACATGTCCCGATGAGGACTGTGGTGGAAGACAAATTGCAGTTCTGGACACTTTGCAGACCTGAAAAAGGGTTCTTAACATAAAGTGACTATAAACTACTGCTTAGTCAACTAAAAAAATCTACAGAGTTCATTAAGCCAAGTAGAGATCTTTCAGCCCCATTGCCACGACAGCTGAAAGTGCAGAGAAATCAGCCTTGACTTACAGCAGGTGCTCTCAACTGCAGCCTAAGAGTCTCTGGGGATGGGATCCAGCCGTCTTGTGCTTCAAAAAGCCCTCCAGCTGATGCTGATGCACATGTTTGAGAACCACCTGTTTAAAAAAAAACAGAGATTAAAAATACCTTTTTTGTCTTTCACTTTAAAGCTGACTTACCTGCAGGAACAATAAAAGAGAATGACAGGCCCCCAAAATATTGCTGCAAGCTACTAAATTAAGCTGAATTGTAATACCATTTTACTAATTCTATTAATTAAATAGGTCATTGCTAATGAGTAATTTGGTGAGCAAGTGAAAATGCTTAGAGTATAATTTTGCCAGGAAGAAGGGAAAGAGCCCATGGATTGAAAGAGTTTATTCCAAAATTCAGCCATAATTGAATATATGCTCTATAAATTAGTCTCTTTTAAAGGTAACAAATCTATATAATCTTTATTGTTCTTTTTAGCCAGAGTCATAGTTTCCACTGAGGGGCTCTTATGCCCTCTTTAGTAGGACAAGAGAACACCATTAAAATAAAATATAATAATAATAACAGTATTAATAATAATAGGTGCCAGCTGGAGTGGAGTGGCTCAGTTAGTTGAGCATCATC